AGTGGACTCCATTTGCACTATTTCTGGCAGTCTGCAAAGGCCCAAAGTGTCTTATGTGAGTTAACTTCACGCTCAATGTGGTTACCGTACATTAAAATCAAACACTTAGCAGGCTCTATCCCTCTTTATCCAGCTCCCTTCATCGAGACACACACAGTTCCTTGGCTACTCCAACTCTTTTTCTCCCCTCTCATTTACTAGAAACCAGATTGTCAAAACTGAACTCTACTTTTTAAAATCTCCCTCTCGCCAGGAGGTCCCTTCCATTGCATAGAGCTGGGCTGTTTCCCCTCTGTTATTCATTGCATGGCAACTCACTATTGAGCTGCACTTCACCTGAAGTAGCCAGCTTGTAAAACCACTTCATCACAGTTATTTGTTGTTGTTGCTTGCTTTCAAGTCATTCCTGACTTATGGCAACCCTAAGGTGAACCTATCATAGGGTTTTCTTGGCAAGATTTTTTCAGAAGGGGTTTGCCATTGCCAATGGGTATTATGGCCAAGCCAGGATTCAAACCTGGTCCCTCAGTGCCCTAGTCCAACATTCAAACCACTACACCACAATGGCCCTCCATGACACTTATACTTGTGATGTGTTTTTCCTGGTCTTATTAATATAATTCAGCCAAACTATATATTATATCTTTTGACTGATTTGGCTACATCTCCCCTCAACTATTAATGTTATCCCATTTCTTTTTAGATTTTTATCTCCTGAATAAAATACTGTGTAATTGTCTGACTCAAAATGTCCTATTCCTGTTCACTTTACATAATATACCCTAATGCAATGTTTATATGTTTCATTTCCTGTTTTGCAATGTGTAGTCTCTCTTGATTTATGCTTATCACATTCCATGTTCCTATAACAAGTGTTGTGCAGCTTCAGACTTCCTTTTCACCTCTGAGCACAACAACAGCTGAACGTCCTTGAGGATTGAGTCCAGTTACTTCATTAGCCACAGCTCTACTTGTACCTGTTCTCTGCTGTTTCCCAGGAACTCATTGAGTTCTTTCTGACCTGGTAGTCTCATCTTCTGGCAGTCACTCTTGTTTTGTCTCATCATAGGGTTTTCAAGGTAGCAGACTTCAGGATGGTTTCTTATTGCCTTCTTCTGTGTAGCACTAACAAGTGTTAGCTATGGTGCCACTGCCATTGTCTTTGTGAGAGATCTTCCACCAGTGTCATCCTCCACTACTGCTGCTGCCCAACAGCTGCTTGGCACATTTAGTCTGGCTCCTCAGCAAAAGCCTGTCTGACATGCAAGAACCTATCAGCAGCACTGCTCTCATCAGCATAACCTTTTGGCTTATAGGAACATGCAATCCCACCGCCAGGGAAAGATAGTGCTTTATGGTGGGTTGCTTTCTCCAGGACCCTTAATGAGATCCAACTAAAAATGGGTAATTGAGTTGGGGGTAGCTGGGAGTGGGGCAGTAGAAAAAACTGGACATGATATTGCTGTCTCAAAGCCAATCAGACATTGGGAATGGGAATGCTCTAAAACTGGTGGCAGAACATTTCAATCTCCCTGGGCCTTCTATCTCAGACCTCTACACAGCGGTCCTTGAACAAAAGAATGACAAAAATAGATTGGAAAGAGAAACACAGAATTTGAATTCATCCATAAACTACAGTCCCTCAGCAATGGATTGAACAGAGACAATGGCTTTTTGACCCACTACATACATTTCAACACTATCTGACCCCACCCTCAGGAGGGTATTCTACACTCATAAATCCATTACTCATGGCTTCTCCTCATACTAACTGGGTCTGTGGAAGCCAATATTCCTTTTCAGTTTTGTCCTGTTGAACTCCTGCCCTCCTGTCTGTTCCTGGCTTCCACTCCACCACAAGCATCTGAAGAAGTAGACTGAAGTCTATGAAAGCTCATGCTGACAATTTCTTAACTTTTTTCAGTTAGTCTTAAAGGTGCTGCAGAATCTATCTACAATTAATATTAATTATACAGACTAACACGGCTATATCTTTGAATTCTATCAAAGCCAGACATTTGTAACTGTCTTAGGAGAGATTGCAGAAGGGGTTATGGTGGTTCAGATGGATTAACCCTCCAAATACAAGGCAGATACTAAGATCCAGCCAGGTCCACTGGAATAAAGGAACAATAATGGCCAATCTCCAAGTTTTGTATATATAAGATGTAATAGTTGCTTAGCTCCATCTCCAGATTCACCCAGAGGAAATAAATAAATAAATAAATATCTTTCCTGACTCTTCTCAAGGCTTGAAGTGAGGTAAAGATTATTCTATCCCAGAATGGCCTGCTGGATGAGATCCGTCAATTGACATCTCTAGACAGCTTTAAAAAGGCTGTCAAGACGGACCCCTTCCAGCAGGCCTTTCCGGGGTAGAATAATCCCGGCCTCAGGAAACCCCCTCCTTTGAAGGCCTCCAGTTCCCCCTTGAATTGTTGCTGGAGTCTCTACCTGCTGTTGTAATATTGTTGCTGTGTTTTTAATTGTTGTTGAAATTTTAATCAGTTGTTTTAATACATAATTGATTTAATGGTTTTTTAAAGGAGGGGAGTATATTGTTCTTGTATTAGTTTTAATGTTGTTAACCGTTAATGATTGGATTACCAAAGGGCGGTATATAAATTATTATTATTATTATTA